ATTGGTCATACACTAAAGAGACTGTTGGGTGACATATCTCTCCAGACTCTGAATGGGAAGCACCGAGTTGAGTGTGAGTTTAAGGGGAAATGCAGATCGTATGGGAAGTAAGTGAAATCTTATGGGCATTCATAGAGCCAGATAAAAATACTTTAGAGAACAGGGTGAAGTGGAAATATGCTGCTTGAGTTCTATGTTTGACTGGGCACTCAAAGGAATGACAATAACATTAATATACACACGTGGTTTTCAGTCCACAGTGTCTAATTGTTTGCCTCTATAGACCTTAGATACCATAAAATTATAAGAAAATGAAATTGGCATAACTGATAACTTCATAAAAAGTTAGGTATATTATTGTAGTTAACTGCTAAAAGCATAATTCTTATAGAATAGGAACGTCAGGTATAAACAATGATTATTTGACTACAAAGTGTAATACATTTCTGGCATGCCATGTGTAAATAGTTGAACAGTAGTGAGACCGATGCAGTTTATCTTATGGATGTTGCATTTTTCTGCTTTTATGCTGGATACGGCGTCATCCATAAGATGAACTGCATCAATCTCACTACTGTTCAACTATTTACACGTGGCATGACAGAAATATAATACACTTTATAGTCAAATAATCATTGTTTCTACCTGACGTCCATATATATAGTATCCATCCCAAAATATTTCAATGATCCGGCAATAATTCAAGAATCATTCTTCATATACTGTGGTGAGGTATGTCAAAAACGTACGTGATCAGATTGTTCAAGCATGCCACGCAAATACGCTACAAGATTCAGATAAATTAAGTCTTGTCGGTGCTTACTGAATAATCTTTAATATCTCTCTGACACACAAAATAACAGTACCCAAGTTGAATGGTGCTTAGGATTTATGCCTCGTAACATATTGATTGAGCACAAGAATACATGAACAGATAGAAGGAACATAGATGAAATCATTTACGTTGAAGCTATTACCAAATCCGTTATACTAAGAATAGGAACTATTATTCAGATAAGTGTGTCGCAATTGAATCATTAAGCTCAGTAGAGATAACATCAAAACAATGTGTAAATTTTAACCGTATCACTTAAAGTGAAGGAATCGGTGTAATCCTTAAAAGGCGTAATTCTATTTCCACCAGAGACTTGAATTTTCCAAAGAGTTGCAGCTTTAGTTGCCTAGTGACGTCAGAAGAGTACTAAGAAATAGTGATAAGTGGAATGTTAAAATTTGTGCGGCAGCATGTAGTATCGTAAATTATTCTGTAATTATATTTAATAAGATGAGGTGAACTAGGCTGATAGAGAAGCAGCTCATATCGCTAAATTACTCCTAAAATTTGGAAGATTATTCGCTTCTAACTAAACCAATCATTTATCTATTTATCTATTTTACGCTTTCAAGAAGCCAATCAGCCGACGTGTCTTCTTTCGATGAAAGCAAAATGAAGTCTAGGGACATGCAATGCTTTCATCATGTTCAAGACCAACAACTCTGTTCAGACTGTGAGAGAACTTAGGAAGTATTAAACTGAAGCTTTAGGTATCTGTGAAAACAGATAGAATGGGAGTAAACTGTCCAGAAAATCAACTGGAGAGTCGAGGATCCACTCCAGTCACCCAAGCGACAATCACCAGCACACCGACGGTATGTTTTGTTGTTATGATGTCACCAACAGTGTTGGAGGCTCTCATGCAGTGAGAGACAACCTCCTTCAGGACCATGAAGGCAAGGTTTGACTTCAAAGGAAGTAAATTTACAACTATACAAAGATACGCTCTTGCAAAGCAGTGGTGGCACAACGGTACAATTCCCCACCACAACGCATGTGGTCTGGGGTTGATTCCCCGGCCGACGCACTCCTTTACCTCGCTAAGCCAGTAATAAGACTGGTAAAGAGGGGAGTTTGGAAATGAGGCTAGTAACCCCATCCCGTACAAATAAACACCATTGCTACCGAAACTTCAAACTTCTAATTTGAAGCCCCATGTTCCACTGGGAATGTACACGAATGAAAAACACTCCTACAAATAACGCAGAATCAACAGAGAAACAGGGGTCTTCTACAGAAATTGGAAACAGTAATGAATAAGACCTCAGCCAGATGATGACGCCAAAATTATGTTGACTGATGTGAATGCAAGCCAAACTATACACAGACTCAAAGAATACATTCAATTTACTGAGAAATTGAGTGCTTTAAACATTCCCGACGAATTCTTGGTGTCTTTCGATATATCCCCTATTCTCGCCAACCTTCCAGTTGAAGAGACAATCGAGTTTGTTTGCAAACACTTTGAATTTCCACCTTACCCAGTGAAGACATGAGAAAACTGCTAAATCAATGCATATAACGTGTGTAGTTTCGTTTCTGTAATGTACTTTATAGGTGGACTGGTGGAGAAACTATGAGACGTCCCCTGGAATGTGCTCTGGCTGACATATTTATGGAAAGTTTAGAAAAAACCTAACTGAAACCCACAGACGGAGGGTCTAGCCTTCACACTCCAATATTAGCTACATGGTGAATACAGGTGATATCATGTTTACTGATATTGCGGTAATAACTAAATTCTGTCAGTTTTTTTATGGTTTAGTTTTAGATCTAACCGCTAAATGACGTAGCTAAATATTTTGAGACATGGACAGTTTCCTTGTATCTGCAGGTTTTATTTGCCATTGGATTCTGTAGAGCACAAGACCTATTTTCCCTCAACACCTCATTAACATTAACAAGATGTCCATATTAGTTTTCTGAAACAACAAGATTTAACCTACTTAGAGTAAAACAACCCATAAAACAGACAAGTATTTTCCAAGGTCAGCTTTGTCTATCAATATCGAAATTTAAGAAAGAACAATGTTGAGACTAAGTTGTAACGTTGAAATGAAGTAGGTGCTTGTCACAGTCAAACAGTAGTGCTTGCCATTAATATCGAATTAATTTAAACACCCGACAGCTCTTCCAGTCATTTGGGAATGAGGTCATCAGTGACCTACCCACTCAGACACAACCTAGACAGTCGAATCTTTTCGAACCATTTGACTTATAGTTTGCTACTTGGGTGAAATGGTAACATATAGCAATAAATTCTTCTTTCTTCAATTCACCCCTGGTCAGTTTTCACCTGGACTTGTGTAACTTGCTAATTACAAGTCTTGGTGAGTGACATCATTTCATGTCAGTTGCAAATCACACCGTGAGAAGCGGAAGATAATCCTTTAATTTATGATCTTTTTATAAAGTGACCCAGAAAGATTTTTAACTTGTCTGGTCTACCTCTGGACTTCTTGATATGAAGTTAACATGACCAAAGGCGAAGTTAGTAGTCTACCCAGTGATAACACCAATGATGGCATCATTTCATGCACTACTGAATCCCCAATACGCTGAAATATTTACTTTTAAGCTGTAACTACAACTGTTTTCACAAATGAGTCCATTAAACTTCACGACCACGTATTTACAATAAGCTCTCAATCTGATTCCATTAAAATAAACAATAGGGTGTCATGGGAACTAATTTCACATCCATAGCTTAATCACTAAACCACTTATAACTGAAGACAATGTGTGATCTTCTGAGTGTTAAAAGTGTTAATATAACTCCACAGTTGAATACTAAAGTGACAGAATTAAAAATAACCAACACACAACGCAAAAACTAATTTCCAGTATTTTCCTATGATACTGTATTCTTTTCAATATCAATTTCTTCTAATTTTCAAATTAAACATCAAAAGAAACTATCACTATTATATTCTTAAGTTATAGTACAAAGAACAACTGACTAAAACCCAGATGATGTACGTGGACGCTGGTGATGGCAGTATCAATTCGAAAATAAAAAGCATTTAGTGATATTGAAAAAAGGTTTCATTATTATTAAATCTCAATAAACATCAACAAAGCATTCCAGTGAAACAAAAGCAGATCTAACTGATCAATCATCTATTCAACTGTCATTCATCAACCATCTGCAGATCTTTTTATTATTTAAAATATTAATCGTATTACAATAATTTTCAAGAGTTGCTTTGTAAGGATTAGATCTGTTTCTGCGAGTTCGACCATGGATTGATATCAGTTAGAGAACCATAGAGTGCTGGACAGCTCTTTCATCCTAGTTTGGGAATCATCGGCAGTACGCACTCACTGGGGTTCGAACCCAGGGCCTTCCGGATACGGAAAGAGTTTCCTGGAGTTCTAGTAGGAAGTCGTGATCAGTGAGGTGCAACCAATCAAGTGTGAGGATGGAATTCCCACCGATGACATTGGTTGGTGGTCACGATAAAATTACGAATTGGTAGAAGTTAGAATTCATGCACTGACCATTGAATCGGGTCCCAGTGAATGGATGGTATACAAACTTGCCTTGTAATCATAAAGTCCTGGGTTTGAACCCCAATGAGTGCGTACTGCTGATTATTCCCAAACTAGAATGAAAGAGCTGTCCAGTACTCCAGTGCTGGTTTTCAATGGTTCTCTAACTGATATCAATCCGTGGTGAAACTTATATTACATTATTTAATTCAAATATCAGCATAGAGATAACTCTGTAAACAGTCCAAATATCTTTAGAATACTTTTATTATTAACAGAGTTCCACTTAGAATATTCTATGCATTAGTAAATCAACTGATAATGAACAAAAGCTGTGTTTAAATCAGTTCTTTTTGACAACTTTGAAGACACTTTTTCCAACAAACAATTTAAAGAACTTACTATAAAAGGAAGGTGAACAGTTCTACAAATTTATAGAATCAAATAAATGTTATCTTCTATCTACTAAAACTCTTGTTATGCTAAAGAAAAGGTTGTTTTTTTAATTAATAATATAAAACGCCAATTTCAAATCTCGTAAATAACAGACTGTAAATAACACAGTATTCAATGGTTTCAATATTTAGTAACAGTAAAACAAATATGTGTATACGAAATAGAATGAATAAGTGAAAATTTGTTTGCTTTCATTTTTGTCTTTGAATATATCTTCTCAATAATCATCACTAGTTTTTGTACTTGCTTCAGTAATATTCGGTGGTGGATGTGAATTTCGTGAATATTTAATTCTATAACTTAACTGATAATAAAGTTTAACAATTTTTTTTCTTAAATGTTGACTTGAAACAACTAAAATGATTGGATTAAGTGAACTTTTAATTACAGTGAAAAATATCGACAGACGTCTTTGTATTGAAATACTTTGATATTGTACAGCACCATATAAACTTGCTAATGAATAAATATGATAATATGAATGACTTAAAACAAATAATGTACACATAAGTGTAATACTAAGTAGAATTGATTTCATCTTACGAATAGATGAAAATGATGTTGGCTCTAGGGCTGATGTTGAAATTGATGCTGACAGTGTTATCGAGGACACCTGTTGTCCAGTTGTCCGTCTTTCATTCAAATCTGACTTAGTCACATCAACTGAACATGTTGAGTGTTTTTGAGACTGTGAATTTTCTAATGATTGTTTAATAAAATAATATACACGAGAATAACAAGTGATCATTATTATTGATGGGATTAAATAAGCCAAAATTAACCATGAATAAACTGTAAATTGATCGAATGATGTATTATATATTAGTCGTGCTTCTTCACAAATTCCATTGTTATAATCCACTGCAAAAATTACTGGTAACGGTGAAATGATTGCATGAAATAAGATAAATGTATAGCATAGAAAAGGTTCATATTTTTGAAAAGCTTTATATCTAGACCCTAGATAAACAGCACTGAAACGATCAATAGCAATCCACATCAGATTGGAGACATTTAATAATTCCATAAATTTTAAAAAATATTCAGACAACCAAAAATGACAAATGAATGAAGCAAACCAACCAGTGAAATTATCTATATGTACAGGACTAAATAATGAGATAGCTGCAAATAGGCATGTTAATCCATCAAAAATACACTGTGTACGAAATAGTATTGTAGCAGTTCTTGAACCTAATCGTGTGAATGATATAAATATTAGCGTGAATAGATTACACACTACTCCGTTTACATCAATTATACCAGCAATTATATGATAAGCCAAAGGTATTGCTTCTTGATCCATTATTCTCTGTCTATGTGTATATACGTTTTATAAATGGAAACATGAAATCATTCATTCTGATAACTTGACAAATAATGTTTTATCATTAAGACCTCATTAGGCTTCCTGTTTTTGGTTGAAATGTAGTTCATAGAATATTTTACATGTTAAAAAAATGTAGGAAAATGAATAAAACAAAATAAGCATATGTAAACATGCGCTTATTTTTCTAACTGAAATGTAATTGGACAAATAGGTTAGGTGAGAAGAATCTTTTTTTTTATAGTTTGATAGACACATATTTGGCTGTCAGTAGACTGCATTTTTATTTACTCAGTATGTATGTTCATGTTGTGAAATTAAAAAAAAAATAGGGATCTACATATAAAGATGACAAAGAAAATCCCATTCGTGCTCATCTCGAAGGCCTGCATGACTCACAGTATCACATAGAGGCGTATTTTCAGTTCATCTCTATTCACTTATGCATATTTTTTTCGATAGATAGATACTTTTCTGGTTCATTACCAGAGTTCCTTAATGTTTTTTCCTTTCTGAATGGCCATTTGATATTCTCTATTGAACCAGTGAAGGTGGCTGTTGATGAAAGTCTGAGACAGCCAGTTAGAAACGCTTTTGGTGACTCTCCAAGTCTCAGAAGCATATAGACTTACTGATTTCTAACAGATAGAGAGGCAAAAATGGGAAGAGAAAGGAAACGGTTAAGCCAGAAAGTGAGTGTACCAGTAACAACACACTGCCTATGTTAAGTTATAACAAATGCAACTGGTTGAGCATTTATAGTTTAGCAGCTTAAGACATAAACATTCAATACCTGAATTTCCTACTGTATAAGGTGTCCTTAATGATGAAGATATAGAGAAAAATAATGGTACTCATTGAATAAATGTCAGGATATATTAGATCGTTGGAGGCAGTCGGCAGGAAGCCTAGGTTTCGTGCTAGTTGGCACTCACCAGTCAGCAAGGCGCATCTGTAACATTGAAGGAACATATGTCCCTTCTGAGATTCGAACCCGCGTCACCCAGTGCTGCAGTCAGAGACGTTACCACTGAGCTATTCGAGATCGCGACTGACCTCCTGTAGGACTGTAGTGGATATTTTGATTGGACACTAGTAAGTAGTGTGACGTGTTTAGTCCTAGCCAACTAGCACGAAAACTAGGTCCAAGGCTACCTGCCGATTGCCTCCAACTATCTAATATCATCAAATCAATGTGCACCGTGATGGCGAGCTACCTAGAACGGTGGCCATATTACAAACCTGACTAATAAAATTCAGTCTGCACCAAAAAAAGGACTAGACACGTCACACTAGTTACTAGTGTCCAATCAAAATGTCAGGATATTTTGATCAATACAATGGCTGTATAGTATTTTGACTCATTTATTTTTTGCATACATCGAAATTTATGTTAAAAATTAAGCGTTACAAACTAAATGATTTCAACCAATATGAATATCTCTGTGTTGGTGGAGTTTTTGGAGTTTAGCACTCAGTAAGAGGGTAAACTTTCAGAGGGGAATATGAGTTTTCGCACTGACGAAGAATAGTCTTTGTAATCATCACAAATCATTTACTTCAGTCATCGGTACTGTCGAGTAAAATGGAAGTTTTGTTAACAGTTGATGACTGTTTCGTTTTCCTATTCGATAATCTTTACAGTAGTCAAATGTTTAGTTTAGTATTTACGTAATCAAGTCTCGCAGTTTACCAACTTCTTTTCATATATATATATATATATATATATTGGTTGGTAGTGACTGGAGGCTGAATCCAGAGTGCACATTTCATCCCATTTGGGCCTCATAATCTGGATGTTCCTGTATTTTCAGTGAATGATGGTATCCCCTCTGGGTTTTGAACCATACGCCTACAGTGTCGAATGCCAGAGCATTGTCCACCAGGCCACCGGGGTAACGAAATTCACCTCTTGCGTAATGGATATCACTTGTTACTTGTTTTTACGTTTAATTTGCGTTTTCCGTTGATTGGTTATGTTGGACTGAAATTCCCGGTTTCTGTAAGTAAGCTTCGACGGTGTCTAGCTGACTAAATATAGGTGACTTTTGTAATTTCATTCTTTTAAATATTGCTGAATAAACTGGCTATTGACTTTGACCACCTAGTAGTATTAATAGCTCATCAACATATGATTAAGTAAGACATTCAAGCATAATCGTTCTTAAGGCTGATAAAGGTAAATTGGAATAAAATCATTAACTCTAGCTTGTTACTAAGCTTCTTTTGAATATACTTTTTAGTCTAAAAGTGAAATTTTGATATTTAAACCATCCTAGTAGCATTACAGAGTAAGTTTTTAGTATTACTTCTTCAAGGTAATTTGGAGAAGATACACGTTAAACAACATTGTCTAGTTTAATAGGCAGTCGTAAGTCCGGAAAAAGATGGAAGTTTGCCCATGCGGCTAGCGACCACACCCCGGAACATCAACCGAATCGCCGCATAAACTTCACAACACAAAAATAATACAGAAAATAAACTTATTTTTGCTGGAATCGGACAGACAAAATGATGTGTACCGTTAAAAGCCTTCCCCTACTGCACTCTCACTTACAACGCAGATCAACAGGAGAGGTAAGACTCATGCAGACAACCACAAATTATAACATACAAGATCCCGGCCAGATGGCTACATCTAAGTACTAATGGGTGATATGATTGCTAAACTGGGGGCAAACAACACGAGATGAGAATTCATTATTGGTCGGTGGGTTGTTGGCGAGATGAATGAGAACGGACAACTCTTCACTGAGGTCTGTACTTTTAACGATTCGCCGACTGGGAACGGCGTGTACAAGCACAAGGACCTACTTAAAATGATATAGGTTTCACCAGATTGACTTCAGTTCAATCTCAACAAAGTAGAGGCGTAACCTACTGGACGCAAGATGGAAAAGAGGAGCAGATGTAAGCTAAGATCATGATCTATTGCGATGAACCTTCAAGACCATGCTTAATAATTTCAAAGAAGGCGAATGCTATACGAGCTTGCCTTGTAACCGGAAGGTCCTGGGTTCGAGTCCCAGTGGGTGCATACTGCCGATGATTCCCAAACTAGGGTGAAACAGCAGCTGTCCAGCACTCCCTGGTTTTCAATGGTTCTCTAACTAATATCAATCCGTGATCAACTCGTAAAAACCACATTTCAGTTTCAATACCCAGAAACTGAAGGACGAAACCACAAAGGACGCACTCACTGCAACCCTCAGAGAAATACTGAAGACATTGTGTAAAACTACCGCGAAGACCTGTTTCAAAGAATACTAGAAGTCTCTGAAAGTGACGTTGAAGAAAACACGTGTAAGAAGAAAGAAGAGACAGATATTGACTCTCTGCAGACACTAGGAAGCTAATACAGGAAGCAGGAATGGTGAAAATTTAGATAAACCAATGCAAAAATGAACAACAAAACAGAAAGCTGAGTTCAGTCTACAACAAGCTGAACAAAAGAGTGAATAAGAATGTGAGGAGAGACGAAAGACAATTCTGTGACACATTGGAAACTGAAGCAAAATAAGCTGAAAGTAAAGGAGATCTCAGAAAACTATTTCATACAACCAAGTGGCCGTCTTCGAAGGGATCAAAACAGTGAAAGACAGTGGAGGGGAACTTAATTACCAAATGAAAGACACAGAGAAAATAATAGACTGTTCGATACAAAGGACTTTTGAATTGACAGTCACCTGCAAATCATTCAGAAATACTATCAACGTACCCAAAACCACTGATGAGCACCAACTTTCTCGTAAAAGAGGAAATCCTAAATATCCTAAAGTCGAATGAAGCCGGGAAGGTGGCGGGATCAGAAGAAATTCCTCTGGAAACACTGGAAACGGACCCAGAGGCCTCAGGGGATATGGTGACGCCATTATCACAGAAGGTTTAGATGGAAGGAAAGGTATCTACTGACTAGACGAAGAAATACCATGCCAAACTCCATCCATTGCAAGAAATGGCGTGAAGTCGTGCTCCAGTCTATCCCAAGCAAAATATTAAGTCACATAAAAATGGAGACAGTAAAAGGTGCTATGGATTTGAAATTCTGCTCTGACTGAGGTGGATTCAGGGAAAGTAAATCATATGCTAACTGAATTTTAGCACCACGATTCATCATCAAACAGAGCATGGAGTGCTGTCAAATCTCCACCTAAACTTTGTCAACTCTGAAAAGGCCCTCAATAGAGTTGACCATGAAGTGATTTGAAAACTGCTTCAGCACTATGGAGCGTCTAACACCTTTATGAACTTCACGCAATAGCTGTATGGTAATGCCACATGCCGAGTGCTTCATAACGGAAAAATCAGCGTTTCAAGTGAGGCTAGGAGTGTCAGAGGACTGCCTAATTTCACAGATAAATGTTCCCGACTGTGGTATACTGCATTGTGCGATATACCATGGGGAGCGAAAAGATGGGCATCCGTTGAACTGATGAGTAACTCAGAATATCTGGACTTCACGGATAATTTATGTCTAGTGTTACACTAACTCGAAGGTTTATAAGTAATGACCAGCAGGTTGGCGGAGAAGGCAGTGAAGGCAGGACTTCAAGTGAACATACAGACGACAGAGGTGATGAAGATATGTGGTAACCAACACCAATAAGCACTAGTCACTATCAACGGGGAAATCTGGAGGAAGACACTACCTTCAGTTATTTAGACAGCATCGTTTCAAGCACAGGTGGAATTGCTGAAGATACCGAAGGCAGCCAGAATCTGAAAAGCAACACAGACTTTCAGAAATCTGAAATCAGTTTAGAAATCTGCTGTACTCACGAAAAAGAACAAGAATCAGATTCTCAACAGTAATATCAAATTAGTGTCTCTATATGCTTAAGATACTTGGCGTACACGTCATCAAAAGTATTTGCAACAAGCCGAAGACTTTCATTAACAACCGCTTTTGCTGCACTGTGAAGATCAGTTGAACAGCCAGAAAGGACTAGCATCCAAGGACTCTGACAACGAACCATCAA